AATTAAACTCAGTTTTTAAATAACCTTAGTTGCCTCCCCTCCCCCTATCCATTTACTTTTTAACATGCATATTTTTGCACAGAACATTCTCCTCATAGAAAAAACTTTTTGCTTAATTAATTTTATTAATTAGTTATTGAACATTTTACCTTTAGAAGTGTGTCATATAAAAGCTGTGACATTTAGTTTGTTAAGTTAGATAGAACATATAAAAGTAGCACATTAGGTAAATAAATAAAATAAAGACTTTTTGTTTTATTCTTACTATCTGCCCAACACATATTTGTTTTCATATCTTATTTTCTTACTATTTCATATTCTGACTATAAATTTTGTATAATTTTTCCCAAAGCATTTGCTATTCCGCCCTTCCCAATTTATTTGATTATCATCGTTTAAATTTAGGTTACAGATTATACCAAGTGATAAGAGTTGTTTGATTTGTCATCACAATACGCAAGTTTATTATGTAATATATATTATGTAATAAAAATATTATCTTTTAATAAAATGTCAACATATAAATTGAATCATTCGAATTTGCTTTAATAAAAAATTTGGATTGATCAAATTAATAACGGTTTTGCCATGTTGTTATATAATTTTGTTTTTATATATATATACTATTGTACTAATGTAGTATTTTAGTTTTTTCATGAGCTGATAGTTCATAGCATCAACCAGTTTCTGATTGCAATTTTAAATATGAAGTTTTGCATAGAACATGTGTAATTGAAACCCAGCAAATATTTTCCCTAAGTGGCCAAGTAAAAGTGCTTGAGGAAATAGACTGCTTCATTAACTTTATAAGGATATCTTGATTTTCTTCAGATATTTCCACAATATTTTCTAAAAACCATTTTTCATCATAAACACATGCTATATAAATTCCTTGTGAAAGAGAGGCAAGTGGAATCGTATAGTTCTGCTGCATTGTTGAAATATTTACATTAGTAAACACATTGTCAAATGACAATGTGTTTACTAATGTTTAAAATTTATTTATGTAATGTAACTGTATCATTTGAAATGTATTGAAAATGTATTCCTTTAATATTTTGTCTCCACCAATCATACATTTTCTCAGATGAATTGATAGGATCAGTTAGTGATTGTAAACTTGCCCTTGCTACAAGTCTTTTAACAGTACCACCAACACCATCATAAGCACTCTTTCCATGTAATATAGCAAAAAAATGCTTTCTACAGATACCCCATGATCTTGTTCATTGTAACATAAGTTAGATATGTTTTTATAATTTTTGTATTGTGAACTTGCATTATCACTGAAATAATGCAATGGTTGAAGTAGGGTATTAACTCTTTTAAATGTTTTAATACTTCATGAATGAAACAACAAACTGAGTTCGTATTGTATTGCAAATGATCTGAGATGATACAAATACTTTTACATATCTTATTTTCTTCCATAAAGTAAATAACAAAAGGATGCAATGTTGCTTGGCTGTTGTTCCAATGGAAACCTTGTACTGGATCTTGAATTAAAAAACTGTAATTTATAGCCTAGTAATATTAAAATATGATTATTTGGTAATGTGATTTTTAGATGCTGCAAAAATGCTGCTTGATTTTTGGCTATATAGTGATGGTCTCTTAATTGGTCTATTTGTTGTCAAGCTTTTTCAATAAAATCATCCACTGGAAGAGTTATTGGAACTATATCATATTTTTTGTTAGCTTTTTGCCACTGATTAAATGTGATTTCTTCAATGCTATGTTTATCAAATATAGTAGTAAGATACTCTTTAAGTGTGTCAGTATCTGGGCAATTATCACAACTGTGCAGCATGCATTTTCGATTTGTTAAGTCACATACAACTAATGTAAAAAGATTTTTATAGTCAGAAATATCTGGTATTTTTAATGCTAAAAGTTTCGCATTCTGGTGGTACTCACAAACACTTACTGAGTGCAGACCTGAAGCACCTCCAACAGGAATACACCACTTTGATCTAAATTCTCAGAAATTAGAAAATCCAATTTTGACATCTAAGAAAATTCTAAATAAAGTTTTTTTATATTAAGTTATAGTAGTCTTTTATCATCGACTTGGATTAAGACATACTGCTTTTTCCCTGGACACATTTGAGAGTATTCATCTGATTGGTAGAATTCATGATTTTTTACTTTCTCACTAATAGGTCTTCCTTCTTTTTTAGGCGATTCTGCCAGTATGCCATGCATTTGTTTCAAATGTCTTGCAGTTTTTATCACTCTTTGGGAAGCAGAAAAATAGTTTAGTGTATATTCAATTTTCCAACTCTCAGGAACCAAAGTTAGTAATTTAAGTTTTTCTGATTTTGAAGAATTATCAAACTTTGCTTTAATTAATTCTATTAGTGAGTCCAAGTCTTGTTTACTGTCACAACACAGCTCTTTTGATTTTTGTTCATCATTTATTAAATCGAGAGAAACTTCAAAAACAGTTGCTTTTTTTTTTGGTGAAAGTATGGATCTTGTTTATCTTTCTTTTTGCATAGCTGATCCTGTCTTTATGGGCTACTAGTTTTAGAGGTGAGCAACCAAGGCTATTAATGCTTAAATTAAAGTTTTCTTTTAAAATATGAATCTCATTGAAATCATTGTCTTTATTTTTACATGAATTGCTTTCATAATCTTTTTTGTTATTTTTTAAATACAATATTTTACGACATTATGTACCAATCTTATGACCAGGTATTAAATCAAATTCCTTTGCAACAGCAACACTGATTATTCTGACAGATTCTAAAAAGAAACAAAATAATAAAACATTAGGTAAGCCTTTATCTTTGAAATAACTGATTAAGTCAATTTATTATTAAATACTTTTAATTTTAATTTTGTGTTTGTTAAATGGATCACAACAAAAGCTTCCATCGTACGAAGACTCAAATTTATTCAAGAAGATCTTTTCATGGTGATAACAAATAGTTTTTATATGATTAACTTTACATCGTAAGTGCACAAGTTCTTGATTTTTTTTGGCTAATTCGTCAAAACATTTAATTTTCTTGAATTTGGTAAATTTTCCTTCATGACAATTTTTATATAATGTTTTTCCAATGCAACACTGAGTTAGATCTAAAGATGCACTAGCCATTTATTTTAATTATTATCTAAAAAAATTTATATAGTTTCAATTTTTGAAGTGTAAAGTAAAGTTTACATGAGTTTTAACATAATAATTAAATACAAAATGATAAATTTTATATATAAAATAAAGATAAAAAGTACACCCAACAACTTGTTTATAATTTCACAGCTTTTAAATGTGTATGTTCAATTCTTATTTTGTGCATAAAGACACTTCATGCATTTGAAAATAACCAGTGAAACCTACAATAACAAATTTCTTTTAAGATAAGTTCTGTGCAAAAATATGCATGTTAAAAAGTAAATGGATAGGGGGAGGGGAGGCAACCGAGGTTATTTAAAAACTGAGTTTAATTCAGTCTTAGTTTATAGCTTATTTCTAGTAATGATTATGACATTATATATATATATATCCCGGTGGGAAGTCGGCTAGCGAATAGCTAGCTATAATCGTTACGATAAAGACAGCCATTTGGCCACGAGGATCGCTGGCTTTTTTAAGTTAGCGAAAAGCTATCGATTTATGTAAAGGTAAAGACAGCGATTTGGCTACGAGGACAGCTAGCTTAACAAGCTGAAGATCCACTGGCTATTGTACCTAGCGTCATATCGTAATAAAACCGTTGTCTAAAAATTTTTGATATGTAGCTATCAACCAGGTATAGATTTGTAGATATTTTGTAGCTAGCTACAAAGCTACGATATGTAGCTAGCGACATATTGCTACAAAATCGCAATGTTTAAAGTTCAACTATTTTCATAGTTATAATAGACTCAACACTAAAAATCGAATTTTTAAAGATGTTAAAGACATTTGCAAAAAATAAAATAAGAAAAAAAAAATCGCTAGAAAATCGCTATAGAGCTAGCTAGTCGCTAGCTCATTTCCCACCAGGATATATATATATATATATATATATATATATATATATATATATATATATATATATATATATATATATATATTGCATTGCAGTAGATAATGAAAACTAAAATACATCAATATCTATATTCACTTCCCCATGAGTAACCACTAATTTTTTTTCTGAATTCACTTTATTAAAGTCTGTTAAATCAGTAAAAAAAAATTTACTATGAAAATAGTGTTGATCCTAGGTTACGGGTGGTTTAAAGGGAAGGCACAATTTTTAAAGTTTTCTCCGGAGCCATTTTTAGGAGTCCATTATTTCTTACTGAATCGTATCTTATCAGCAGTTTTTTAAAAATTAGAAAGCCTACTATATATAGAAACTAAAAAGATATGTCTTTTCACTTCTTAAGTTGCTAATTTTGCATATTGACCCATCAAAAATTAACTTTTTATATCTGTAAACAATTTTTTAGGTTTTTTAGGCAGCCATTATGGATAAAATGTGTAACTTAAAAATTCAATGTCAGGGTTTTAACAAAGTAAGCCTACAGTTGTATATAATTAAAAAAACTAGAAGGTTTTCTGAAATTTTGATTTTTAAATGCAGAACTTTAAAGTATGAACAAAACATGATTTTGCTAACAGAGTTTAAATTTTTGGAAAAATTAGAAATTTCAAATTGCGATATCTCATAAACCACAAAAAATTGTTAGCTGAAATTTTTAGGAATTGCTTTTCTCATTGATATAAACCGACCTACCAAGTTTCATCAAAATCTGAGGGGGTCCATGTTGTAATTCCCAAAATTTCAGTCCATTTGGCATGGAATAACCCACTACTACATGTGTGAAACACTAGATGTTACAGCAAGGTAAAAAAATTATTACCCTTTAACTCACTAACATTGAGAACTAATTTCAAGAAATTAGTAAAGAAATCAGTTTCAAATAATTTTCTGAGCATTTTTTGGTTGCATATTGATTTTTATTACAATTATTTAAGAATAAAATTAATCTCAATAATATTAATATACCTCTTCCCAAAATTGATTACTAAAGTCTTCACAAAACGGATTTTCAGGATGAAAATTTTGATCCACCTTTAATAAAGCAACAATTTCGCCTTTTTCTTCGTCAAAACTTGCATACTTTTTAAACATTTTGCATAAGTAAATTATTTTTCAAGACTTATTGAGTAAATTTTCAAACCGCACGATACCGGCAACTAAATTACACGCCCAAATACATAAAAGAGACCAGTCTATGAGTATATAACAGATTTTCACGGAATTGGATGCGAAGAGACATTAAAGTTGTTTCGCCGATTTTATTCGTACAAACAAGCTATAAAGTTCATTTATAATATAAAATATACATTGCTTTTGAAATCAAATATGCGCAGGGAAAAAGTATATTTACATTTTTTTTAACCTTTTGAAAAGAGTATGTTGGGTTTTTACAGAAAAACTGCATTTTAAAAATATTTTCTTTTCGATTATTAAAATAAATTAAATTAAAATTAACATTTTTACAAGTTTTATTTTGAGTTAATATTTCCAGCTAGAATACACATATTGTCATTGTCTCCGTCTTCCGGATCAATAAGTAAAGGTTCCTTTAAACCGAAAGGTACAAATTCTTTACCGCTTTCGTCAAAAGATACTGGAATGAACTTTCGGGTATATTCACTAAATCCTTTTTTTAAAATTATTCTTTCATATTCTTTTAGTAAATCACAGTTTTCGGCTTTTCCTCCGTTTAAATAATTATTCAGTGCCTCCGAACATATTACAACTACAGCATGACGGTCTTGAATTGCTTTAAAAAGTTTATCAGCATATTTAGGTATATTTGGGTAAAGATTTTTCACGCTTTTAATATCTGCATAACAAGGGTACCTTTTTTGCATCTCAACTTTAAAACTAAAGTATTCATCTGAATCTAAATCAGTACTGATCACAAGGATCATTTTGACGTTACTTTTAGACATAGTAAATTTGTTTGACTCGCTTGTTCAACTAAACAAAATGTAAATGTATAAAGGTGAATCAACAAAAACCTTATTATATTGTTTAACACAAGTTTTTAACTAATACGAAAATAATAAAAAATTTTCAAAAACAAAACATAAACATTGTAAATAACTTTAATTAAAGGAATTATGTAGTTAAAATAGATACATTTACAATTAGTGGTTTATTTTTTTAAATGTATAAGGTGTTACCATATATCAAGACATAAAAATAGGTAATAATTTTGTAAATAAAACTTTGCATTTTATAATAATTGTCAACAAGATATTTCTGCTATTTTTTTAACGCACATTTCTTTACGAACATCAGCTAAAATATTCTCGTCATTTCGCTTAGATTTTACTTAATCAATCCACCCTTCTAATATTCACGGTTGATTGAAATATAAAAAAGGGTAAATGTAACCGACCAATCAACAATCATCTAACTCAATTTGTTTATTATTTTATTAGAATTCACAACAATAAAAAAACGTCACTCTCGTTCCAGCTCATCAAAAGTATAAAATAGAAGCCAAAAAGGGTAGAGACGTGATGCCTTATTTAGAATAGTAAGTTTATTTTATATAATAAACTTACTTCGTAATATTTATTGTCAGAGCAAAGTATATTAAAAAAAAAAAAAAGTTTCTAAATATTTAATGAAAGAATAAGAGTAACAATAATAATACAATATTGCATAGAAAATATTCTGAAGTTAAAATACAAACTCCGATATTACTAGTCTGATTAGATAAAAGGCAAAACTAAATGTATGGTCTGTAAAATGTTACATTCGTTGATGTTGCCGTAAAAAATAGGTTTAAGTCGCGCTGACCTGTTTGGAAACAGCTATTGAAATTTTGCTTTGTAAGTTGTAATTACTATCGGATCATTTCAGGAACATCTTGTGCGGAACGGTTCATTTCAGAAAGACTATAACTTTTTATCGCAACACTAATATACAATTTACAGTTTACTAAAATATTTACAGTTAACTAAATTATACAAACTTATAAGTTATATTTTTTTGTAAATAAAAATTTAGTTCTTCAGTCAATTAGTTTTTTTATTTTGTTTTGTTTATTTAGATTTTTGGACACTGAAGTGGAGATATCAATTTAGTTTTAAAACATATTATCTTAAAATATTTTATTACATAATTATAACATTATATTATTAGATAATTGTTTTTTAAAACTATTTTGATACATTTTAATATACTATTATTTTGTTTCTGTAATATCTGTTTACTCTCATAATAAATAAATGATATGACTTTTGATGACTTTTATGTTTTATGTATTTTATAAAACTATATAAAGATTTTGAATATTTAAATTTATTTAAACTATATTTTCTATTGTATATATTAAAGTTTACAACTAATAATTTTTTGATTAAAGAAAAGTATGATTTTTAATGCTTCAAAGCAAACATCGTTTTATAATATAAAACTATAAATAGTTTTTATGTTTTTTGGTTTTAAAAACTCTATATATATTTTGAGTTTTTTGTTTTTTAAAACTTTTTTGATGTTGCAGATACGATGCTTTCAGAAATGTTCATGTTTATTTCAAATGAGAATGTAATTTAAAAAATCATTGTGATTAGAGTTTAGGAAAAGAAATACCCTGGAAAGTTAGACGCCTCTGACCCAAATGTGTGGACAATGATTTAATAAAATCTATTTTTTTGGCACATACTAATTTTTTGGCATATTACACTAAACATCTAAAGTTATTAAATTCCATTTGATAATTTTATAGTGTTTAATAAATCATTTGAAGTTTACAACCCTCATTTTGGAGAGGGCAGAAATTTTACATGATAGTAACTTTTGAATATTAAGAATATTAAAACAGTTGATAAATTCAAGTTTAGTATATTATGCATAAATATATATTTTATTAAATCTGTCCTCCCACTTGAAACCAGAGAGGGCTAACTTTTTTCAGTATTTTTGTTTCAAAGCTTCAATTACAGCATTTTTTTAAATACCATTTTCATGTGAGACAAGGATGACGTGTTCATCCTTGTCTCACATGAAAATGTAAGACAAGGATGAACACGTCATTACTTGTCTTTACTTTAAGTTCGGAGTTTGCACATATCATGAAGCTTCATATCTGAAATATCAGAAAATCCTGGCTTCAACATTGAGTAGAGGTAATCAAAATTTATTGAAATATCAAAATCTCACAAGTAGCAAAAAATAGGGTCAATAAATTTTACAATATGTTGTTTACAACTATATAAGCCAATATTACTCTAGTATTGTTTGCTACTCGGGTTTTATCAGGAAAGTTTTTCGATGTTTAAAAGTTGTCTTATCTTAAATGCTTAAGAGTTAAATATTTTTGTAAAATGAAATGTAGTTACTATGCCTTCTTTTATTCCCAGACCAACCATCTCTCCAGATTTTGCCTTTTCACTTGGTTAATCTTTTAAAATTAAACTTTCAAAATAAGTTTTAAAAACGTTTAGAAAAAAACAATTCAGTTTATTCTGAGCTGGTGATTAATTACGAATAAATATTAAATGAGTCGATTTCTAACAAAGCATTATATATTTGAAATAGATATAAACCAGGATTGAAATGCAAATTTCTTTTTTTTCCTTTAAACAGGATTTATCTTCTCCAGATATCCTGAATTCCGGAAATTTGTTACAACTTTTAGTTTTTTTTTTTTAATAAATATTTTGCAATACATGTTTTTAAACCTTTCCTCGTCTTTTCCCATAAAAAAAAAAATTTCACAAAAAATAGGAAAGCCATTTGATGTAAAGTTAAATTAAGACTAATTTGATGGAAATAAATTCCGAATTTTTCCGATTCTTTTTTTTTTTTTTTTTTATTAATGTTTTCCGGATTTTTTAAATATTACCTAGATCTCTGTTTAAAACGATCGATTACCTACAAAAAGTTTTAATGTGTTTGATTGCCATTTTAAAGTTTTAATGTGTTCGAAACGCCGGCATTCGACAATTTGAATAAAAAAAACGACAAAATATAAAAAAGTAAATTCAGTCAAATAAGATGTGTAAATTCAGTCAAATAAGATGTTAAAGATTATATTCACCAATTTTACTTGGTAAATGTTATATTTAATTGTCTCGTGTGGCAAAAAATGACATAGTAATCATCAAGAAGTTGTAGATGGATCTAGTTATCGCAAAAGCTTTTGCGATATCGCAAAAGCTTTTGCGATTTTTAAAGATGTCAAAGATATTATGAGATATAAGATGTTAAAGATATTAATAATTAAAAAAATTGCTTGAAAATTGCTATACAGCTTGCTAGCCGCTTATTTCCCACCGAGAAGTTTTCTTTAAAGAAAACTTCCCGGTGGGAAATAAGCGGCTAGCAAGCTGTATAGCAATTTTCAAGCAATTTTTTTAATTATTAATATCTTTAACATCTTATATCTCTTAATATCTTTGACATCTTTAAAAATTCGAACTTTAGTGTTGAATCTATTATAATTATGAGAATAATTGAACTTTAAACACTGCAATTTTGTAACAATGTGTTGCTAGCTACATATCGTAGCTTTATAACTAGCTACAAAATATCTTCAATTCTATGGCTGGTTGATAAGATATCAAAATTTTTTAGACAGTAATTTTACAACGATATAACGCTAGCTAAAATAGCTAATAGGTCTTTAGCTTATTAAGCTAGCTGTCCTCATAGCCAAGTCGCTGTCTTTATTTTTACAAATATTGAAAGCTTTTCGCTGGCATAAAAAAAATAGCGATCCTCGTGGCTAAATCGCTGTCTTTATCGTTACAATTATAGCTAACTATTTGCTTCCCGATTTCCCACATCCACAAAGCGAATGTTGAAGCATTATTAAAACCAAACTTTTACACTATTATCAAAAGCTGTAGTAATTTAAAATCCACGAATGATATTGTCATTAAGTTTGACAGCATGTACATTGTTAAATTATTTTAGAAAATAAAGTATAAAATAAGTTATACTTATGAACGCTGTTATTAAAAAGGTTTAAGCTTTAAATGATGCATTTAGTTTGCTCTTATATGGGGAGGCTATTTGTTAAGAATCGACTACGAAGATTGTATTTTTTTACAATTTCTTATTTCTCTAATTTCTGGTTCCATATCTCTGTGTATTAAGCTAATATGGCTCAAAATATTTTTATTTAGTTTGATACTAATTAAGTTTTTAAATATTTTGGTACATATTTATTAAACCACTTTATTGGCGTCTTTTTTCAGTGGGCTCAAACAAAGTATTTCGATTTTTGTTTTGTAACTTAGTTTTCGAATTTGGGGTTCCCGGTTAACGGGATAACGTTAAACCTTTTCAGCTGCATCAATATTATTTATAAGGGACGGGTACCATGCTTGTATCTAGGACTGATTAAATAATGAACAATTTAATTTTTTGATTATTTCTTGAATAATTTCGCAAATTTTTTAACTTTTATTAAAGTTTCACACAGATTATCTGCCAAATCAATCATATCATTGTTGAGTAACTTTTACTGCCATTCTCTATTTTGTTTATCATCAGTATTTTTATCAATTTCGTCAATTTTGTCTCGGTAATCGTCAGTCTCAATTTCTTTCAAAAGTTTCTATTTCTAAAGGGCATCAACAACAGCAAGATAAACACCATGGTAACAAAGATGATTAACAAGACTCAAAAGTTTATTTTATTTTCTTCATCAAACCATCTGTCATTAAGCCAAAATTATCGTAATCAAGATTTAAATTCAAATCTTTAGAATTTTTTATAAGTATTTTAAATACGTTTTCTGCTCGGATAAGAATTATTAATCCTTACCAGGTCAAGATAATGAACTTTTAAACAATGCAACTTTACACTCATATAATGAATATTTTTCTATTGTATCCATTTATCTAAATATAATACAAAACGGTTGTTTGGTTTTTTTTAACTTATCAAAGTCATTAATTAAATTGAACTTTTTTGCTATATTCCACAGGCATACTTTTCATTCCGTATCTTTAAAAGAAAATATCGTTAAAATATAAAGAACATGGATACTCAAAGAAAACCATCAGGTTTTATCACAAAGAACCGCTATTAAAAAAATTCAAACTTATTTGAAAAAATTTGAACTTCACTTTTGTTATGGCGTTTACATCTAAACATGTATGTATATAAGTAAAATGTACATTACATGTAAAAATGCACACATGCATGAATCGAATTACTGAGTCTTCCAAATTGCTGATTATGCAAATAATAAACAAATAATAGAGCCATAAAAGGGTGTCGTTGTGTGTGAAACAAGTTACCAAACATTAGCTTGTTTGCGCTTTTGCCAACATGTAGCAGTGATGTTCATGTCTACGTATATATATATATATATATATATATATATATATATATATATATATATATATATATATATATATATATATATATATATATATATATATATATATATATATATATATATATATATATATATATATATATATACTTTGTTTACTGGGTAATCTTAAATTTTAAATTTTCACAAAGTTAACAGTCTTCAAAGTTACCCAGTAAGCACAGATTGTTTTTAAAACGTTTAAAAAACGTTAATATTGGTTTTTATGAGTTTTTTAAACGTTTTAAAAACGTCCTGTGCCTACTGGGTTAACGATGAATATAAATTTATTATATAATATTATTATTCACTAATATTCATTTATACACAGTTATTTAAATTATGCTAATATTGCTTGGTGTAGCATAGATAAAAGAAAGTTGTAACGTCCCTATCGCACATAAAACATTATTTTATTGAAATGAGAACTTTAAAAATATAGGAGCTAAATATATATAAAGTTTTATGCTTTGTATACATGTGGGAAAATGACTTGACCCTATCTGTCTTCAAAAATATTTTTGCTTCGAAACCTATCAACAAATAAAATTTGAGAAATATTGATTTTAAATGAATTATTTTGTCAAAAGAACTTTAATCAATGTTTAATCTTTTTTTAATCTTTAATTTGTATTGCCGATTGGGCCCTGGGCACCACACCTTTGGAATAAAATTGTTTTGCTGAATTTTGGTTTTGAACTATCCATTACTTTTCACCTTTTTGAAAGCAAATTAAAAACCGTAATTTTTTAATTAGATGACGTATTATGTTATTATTCTTATTAAAATGAATTAATAAATTTGGCTTTACTTAATTACATTTATAAAAAGTTTATTCTTACTTTATTGATTTTTATACTTTTTACTTAAAATTTTTCTAGATTACGCATACGTACCAAAATCTTTTATACAAAATTGGTTTTATGTAAAATATTGGTATGTAGGTCCGCGTGATCTCTTTTGATTATGCACTATTTTTTTTTTATATATTATTCACTTCCTCAAGGCCGAAAAGGCCACTACAGACGAGGAGGCTACTTAATAGTGGTTATAACCCTCTCTCAACTCTATAACTAACCGAAACACGAACCTTGACGAACAAGGCCGCTGCGCGGAGAAACAAGTTGATACTTTTGATTACACATTATATGCTTTTGAAATTTGTAGAAGTTTAATATTATTGTTGTAACATTTGTTAAATGCTTTTTAAATGCAATTTGTTAATGATAACAAGATCCTTTGATCTTCTTTCAGATACCTTGTTTTATATTTTTATATCGTTTATCAACAATTTGTGAAAGTTTATCATTTTTATTTTTGGCAATATAAGTAGTAGAGATTTGCCGGCGATAGCTCATTTTCATTTTTAACCATATTTTCAACCATAAATTAATATTAATATAGGGTTAATTTCTAACCATGATGTGAAAATTTATTTATATAAGAAATAATTTTTCAATTTTTTAAAAAATTGAAAAATTGAATTTTTTTTAAAATAAGTATTAATTTTTTATTTCTTGTCGGAAAATGACGTCACAGGTCACGTGATTTTCTTGCTGTGACGTCACATGACTTTTTCTAATTTATATCCAATAGATTGTAAATATTTTACTACTTCAAGGTGACCATTTCTAGCAGCAGAATTAATTGTCCATTCATCACATTTATACCCTAATTCATGTAAATATTTTAATATTTCAAGGTGACCATTTCTCACAACACATTTAATTGTCCATTTGTCACATTTATACCCTAATTCATGTAAATATTTTACTACTTCAAAGTGTCCATTTTCTGCAGTAGAATTAATTGTGCATTTGTCACATTTATACCCTAATTCATATAAATATTTTACTACTTCAAGGTGACCATTTTCTGCAGCGCAATTAATTGCATCTGTTGAACATTTATAACCTAATTCATGTAAATATTTTACTACTTCAAGATGACCATTTCTAGCAGCTTTATCTATTGCATCTTCTGTACCTTTATATCCTAATTCATGTAAATATTTTAATATTTCAAGGTGACCATTTTTAGCAACACAATCAATTGTCCAATCGTAACATTCATACCCTAATTCATGTAAATGTTTTAATATTTCAAAGTGGTTATTTATAGCAGCATAACTAATTGCTAATTTATCACCTTTATATCCTAATTCATGTAAATATTTTACTACTTCAAGGTGACCATTTCTAGCAGCAGAACTAATTGCACATTTTTCATATTTATACTTTAATTTATGAAAATATTGCACTACTTCAAGGTGACCATTTCTAGCAGCAGAACTAATTGCCCATTTTTTATATTTATACTTTAATTCATGCAAATATTTTACTAATTCAAGGTCACCATTTCTAGCAGCAGAACTAATTACACATTTTTCATATTTATACTTAAATTTATGAAAATATTGTACTACTTCAAGGTGACCATTTTTAGCAACACAATCAATTGCCCATTTTTCATATTTATACTTTAATTCATGCAAATATTTTACTAATTCAAGGTTACCATTTTCTACAGCACGATTAATTGCTTTTAATATTTTAATAACTTCATTTTTAGTCATTTTGTTTTCCATTCTTTTTATATACACAAGAAAATTATTTAACTCATTTTTCAATTTTTTTATTTTTTTAATGCGCATGCGCTAGGATTTTATTTAGATTTAGAAATACTTTATTATATCTAATATTTGTCTTATTTTATCTAATATTTGTCTTATTATTTCTATTAAATAATCTGCTTTTAACTTTAATATTTCTACATTTTCATCATCAAATATTAACATTAACTTTAATATTTCTACATTTTCATCATCACATATTTTTAACAACATATCCCTTGTTGATATCATTTCACTCTCTAATATTAATAATTCTGGTTTTATTAATTCTAATAATTCTTTTTTATCAATATGATTATATAAATTATTTATTATTAACTTTATGTATTCTAATTTTGATTTTAGTTCTGATCTTAATAGTGTATTTGTTTCTTTACTGAATTTTTCAGATTTTAATTTTAAATCTTTACTCATTACTTCTAATCTTTTTTTAAAGTTTAAATATACTGGATTAATTATTTCTTTTTTCTTATTTTCTATTAATAATTGATCTTTAGTAATTTCTTCTCCTTCTAAACTTACAGTTGTTTTTCTTTTTTTAATACATTTTAAAAATGATTTTATTGGTTTTAATTCTTTTATTATATTTTCTATCTCTTCAACTTCTTTTTGAATGTCATTTTCTATTTCTTCAACTTCTTTTTGAATGTCATTTTTAATCTTTTTTAATTCTTCTATTTCTTTTTTCTTTTTTTCTAATTTTTCAGATTTTAATTTTAAATCTTCACTCATTTTTTCTAATCCTTTTTTTAAGTGTAAATATTTTGGATTAATTATTTTGTTTTGCATTTCGTTGTCCATTCTTTTTATATATAAAAGAAAATTATTTAACTCATTTTTCAATTATTTTATTTTTGTAAAAAATAAAATAATAAAAGATTGTTAATTCTGTGTAGTCTCATAATCAAATACAACAACCTCATCTTCATCATCTTCATTAACATATTCAGTAGTTTCTGTAATTTCAGTAACTTCAGTAGTTGTAACTGTAGTAACTTCATATTCTTCATCATCTTCTTCAGTCATTTCAATATCAATAACATATTCAGTAGTTTCTGTATTTTCAGTAACTTCAGTAGTAGTAACTGTAGTAACTTCAGAATCTTCAGTCATTTCAATATCATGAATATCAATAATATTTAATTTTTCTTCTATTAATCTTAATCTTTGTTCTATTGATTTTAAAAATGAATTTTGCATTTCGTTTTCCATTCTTTTTATTATGTAAAGAAAATTATTTAACTCATTTTTAATTTTTTTGATTTAAAATATTTTTACAAATAATAAAAATGAAAATGAATGATGATGAGATTAATGAAATATCTGAATTTCAAAAAGAATTTAAACTTTTTGAAGAAATATTAAAATTTGAATTTGAAGAATCAGATTCTGAAGATGACACTTATTATACATCTAATGAAGCTACTTATTTTACATCTGATGATGAAGATGAAGTTAAAGAAAAACCTATAGTTCCAATTCCTTTAAAAACAGTTCAAATCATGGAACTGCATAAAGATAAGCTGAAATGGATTAATTATGTTCCAACTTATAATGTTATTAATGATGATTATCCTGCTATAGATAATACTTCTTTTAAAAAACATTACAAAAACAAAAAATTTAGTTTTGAAAAACCATTTAATGTTGATATTAGTTTTACTGAAGATGGAAAACCTTCAACAATTCATTTTGTAGAGAAACTACCCATTTTCTGTAAAAATATTTTAAATAATAATTTCTGCCCTTTTGGAAGAAAATGTAAATACAATCATGATATTCCTTATTGTAATACTGTAAAGGAAAGACTAATATGCACTAAATCTTCATGTCAATATAGACATATTCATATTTGCTATGATTATCCTAAATGTAGAAATAAAGAGTGTGTATTATTTCATCCTAAAAAGTCAGAATTATCTAAATTAAGAAAAGCTAAAACTAAATTATGCAAATATATTCTTGATAAAAAAGAATGTAAAAATATAAATTGCAAATATGCTCATTCTAAAAAAGAAATTGAAGAAAATGTAGAAATTTGTCATTATACTCCATGTAAATTAGTAGAGAGTAAATTAAATAAAAAAGGAGAAACAATATATAAAAATAACAGTGATAAAACATGTTATTTTTTACATCAAGGTGAAAGTATTTTAAATTATATTGTTAGAACTTTAAAAAAATGAAAAAATATCATACTTTAAAAGTATTATATTTATAGTGATCTAAAAAAATCTTTACATTTAAAAAATGTATAAGAGTAGAATGTTTTTAGAGTATGAAAAGCATAAAAAATATACAATAACTTTTAATATTAATTCAGATTTAGAACATAGAGCAATAATTGATAGACATATTAAAGTATTCGCACAAGAAGATTTTACTTTAGAATCAGATAAATATAATAGCATTTCTTTAATGTGTGGAGTTGAAATAGATAAAGGACATGTAATGATTTTACTTGCAGAAAATTATAAACCATCACTAAATTTACTAAATTCTGTTGTAATAGAGTCTACTGATGATATTAAAATAACTTTATATAATAACGATAAAAAAGATATAAACATTAAAAAAGGAGATTTGTTATGCTATATTTTATCTTATAATGGTGTTTTTAATACAAATCATATATCACATAGAGCTGCTTTAGAACCTGATAAAAAAGTAAAAGCTAGATCGCAAAGTGATAAAGAATCTGTAAAATCTTTTTTATCAAGTATAGGAGAAGTAATTAAAGAAACTATATGTGATGAAGATAAACCTAGTTTTGATAATTCTGATAAAGCTATATTTGATTTTGGTAAAAAGTGATTTAAAAAAAATTTTTCTTTATAGAAAAAAGAAATGCTATGTAATAATGAATGTAAACAGCTTTATCCAGATCTTAACCAGTTTCCAGAAAATCCAACTGCACCACCACTATCTATAGATCATAGATATAGATTAGATAAGATAAGTGAAATTCAAAATAAAATGGAATGTGAAAGAAATAGAAGAGCTATGCTAAGTAAAAAATATCACAGAGCTGTAAGAATAATTTCAGCTATCGATAATTCATTACTTGCAACTACTATGACACTTGGAGCTGTTGGTATTGGTTTTTTAACAACAATAGTTGGAACACAAGTAGCTATTGCATGTGAAGGTGCAGCATTAGGTATGGGTGTATTATCATTAATAGGATCACAAGCTATTAAAAAATTAACAATAAAAGCAGAAAAGCATGAAAAGATTAAAGTACTAGCTGATGCAAAACTAAATACAATAAGTAGTCTTATTTCTAAAGCTATATCAGATCAGTATATTGATGATGCAGAATTTAATATGATACTTTCAGAACTTGAAAAGTTTCAAGCTATGACTGAACAAATTAGAACAAAATCTAAAAATGAAATAGATGAACTGACTAAAGAATCATTAATTAATCAAGGTAAAGAGAAAGCAATGAAGGAAGCTATGGAATTGCTAAATATGAGATTTAACAAAAATCAGAATATAGGAGTGATGAATAATACTCTTAAGAATTAAATAAAAAAACATATATTATGCATTATTTGAACATATATTATGTATTAATTGAACATATATTATGTATTACAAACATAATATATGTTGATTTTAATCCCTTTTGGGATCTGAGGATCACATTGTGATTTAAAAAATTATTGCTTATATAAAAATGTATGCAAAAGCTACAGATATTGATGCAAGATTAAAAATAGCAAAAGAACTTGATGGGTTAAAGAAAAGTGTTTATCAAGATTCTATTAATGAAAAGTTAGGTTATGATACTTTACAGACTAACTTGGAAAAATTGTACAAACCAATAATAGATAGTCAATCTGGAATAAAAGAAGGTATATCTAAATTAGAAAATAAAGCTGATCAAATAGCTAATACTTTTTCAAGCTATCCTGCTTTACTAGATTCTGAAAATAAAGCAATCATGCCACCTGAAGTTGTAGATAAAATGTCGTTAGGACCTATTGCAACAGAATATTTAAAGTTATATACTACTAAAAATAGTAAAAAAGTATCAGATGACATATTTGGTATACATTACAATGAAGGTGATAAAAAATTTTACATTGGTAAAAAACCAATAACTATTGAAGGTGATGATATAACTATTGAAGGTAAAAAATACATTGGCACACCTGGTCTTTGGGAGATTATAGTAAAATCTCATCCTGTTAGATATACTAACGATGATCGTAATAAGTATAAAGAAATTTTAGATCAAACAGATGCAATTCGCTCTAATTTAAATTTAGCTAAACCAAAATCATCTAGAAGTTATAAGTACACTAATGTAATAAAACCTATTTGGGAAGAGATGATTGGAAAGTCTGGAAAAGGAGTTGTCATTCTTCCTAGTGATCCAAATGCACTATTTGAGATGCTTAAATTACGCTTAGCTGGTTTACAAGCAGGAAATACTGGAACAAGAAATGAGATTGTTACTATTTGTGATGAGTTGTTACGACAGGGTCAAATAGATGATGATGACTATAAAGCATTACAGAAAGCAATAACTTAAAATGAATTAAAAAAATTATTTTATATATAAAAATGACAAAATACTATGATACTCTTATCAATCTTTCAGATAGTCAGAAAGAAAAAATTAAAAAAGCAATTGAATCTGATACTAATGCTAGTATAAAACTATCATATGAAGATTTAAATGGTGAACACAAAATAGCTTTAACAGAGTCACAAAGAAACAGAATGAAAGCAGCCTATTTAAAAAATA